TAGGATATTCAACAGTAATAATAATCTTTTCAGAAATAGACAATATGCACAAAGAGATTTAAATGAATGTATGCTGTATAGTAAATATATTGTCAGCCTTGTGAAACTCATGTCCAGCTCTAAGTTGATGTTGTCATCACATATCTTCTGATTTTTTAGTAACTAATTTGACTTCATACAGAATGAGCAGATGGTAACAGCCTCACTGTGACTGTTTTAATGATGAAGGCTGCAGCGACATTAGTGTTTTCATTTCACTTGTTCAGTTTCTTTGCAACACCTTTATCCGGGATGTAATGTTTTGCATTTTGCTGCATATTTGATCATCCATCATCCTTCCTTTTTTTTGTTTGTTTTTTTTTTTTTTTCATATTTGCACAACCCTCTACAGCTTTCCAGATGGGATGATACACATGCACAGACATGGTTCCCAACTGTAAAATGTGATTATATAACATCATCCTGACACTGGCAAAGTGACACGCCAATATATTTCTGCTTGCACTGTGAACACATCAGCCATTTTCTATGACATTCAGCTCTTAATAATCATCGTTATAGATCCTTAGACTTATCATTGAACATGTGATAAACTTGTTGTCAGATGGGCATCATCATCAGATATAATCCACGCTGTCTGCTGTGGTATCATCACCTGAAACAAACACACTCTGACATACAACCTGTGTGTGTGTGTGTGTGTGTGTGTGTATACAAGCCTAATGAGGATTGGCAGAGCTAAATAAAGATGCTTATGGTAATCCACAGGCTGCAGAAGGCTTCTAAGAATGAACTGTGGGAGCTCACACTGTGCATGTGTGTGTGTGCAGCTCTGCAGCTGAACCTGGCTGTGATAGTTATGTTGTTTGTTACACAACAAATCACTAGATGCAGCCAGAAAGTTACAGAAAATAAACACAACCTATATGAAATTAAACAGTAGCATCCAGCTGGAGTTTTTCAAATTGTTTCACACACATGAAAAAGTATACTGCGTAGATTTTACAGTAAACTAGTTTGTGGTGTCCCCCAAAATTATACAAGCTTGATTCTTAAAATAAAACCCAGCTGAATTAAATTTGCCATTCTGTTTGTCTGAGTAAATTTACATTTTAATTTTAGAAATGCTTGGACTAGCCTTATAGAACCAAACTCCACAGCTACACAAAGAAAAATAACAGGCATGGTATAAAATGAAAAATGTTTTTAAACAAAACTAATTTATTTGAAACATAAAAAAACTTGCTGCATTTTTCTACTTCTAAGCAACTCTACCAAGAACAGGGTGGGGTTTGGGTACTTTGTTGAAAAAAGCTGCACCGCATACTTCTCTTGTAATAAAGTGATTATATGCTATCAGATTCCCATTACACACAGGCAGAATATTAGTCACTGGAATGCTTCATGTATTTGTTCACGGTAACATCAAATATGAAATAACACTATTCCATAATTATCTGCTTTAAATGGAAACGTGTTTTCTGCTCTAATATTAATTTATTTTCTCTCCTCTAAAACAGTGCAACAGTAAACAATGTTTTGTTAGCATCTCTGTTTGTGAAAACACAATGTTATTTGTGTTAAGTTGTATTATTCAATATATATGCAATATTTACATAAATACTGCATGGTACTGCAAAAATCTTTTATCAGCAGATTTGGGTTGTTTAATATTTGTTCAAATATATTATTATTAGTATTAGTAGTAGTAGTAGTAGTAGTAGTAGTAGTAGTAGCAGCAGCAGTAGTAGTAGCAGCAGCAGTAGTAGTAGTAGTAGTAGTAGTAGTAGTAGTAGTAGTAGTAGTAGTA